GAGGGACATACCTACACGCTAACAAAAAAAAACAATCATTCATTCATTCATGCGGTGCTACTGTTTTTTCAGCAGTTCCTTTTTAAACATGGCTTTGAAGTTATCTATTCTAGAAAATTTTAGTTCCTTCCGGACTGAGTTGTAGACTTTATATATTTGGTATGTGAAGCTCCGTTTGAAGATTGACGTTCTAAACTTGGGTGGCGAAATAAGACCCTTACTTCTTACGTTAATGTTATGAACGTCAGTCCGGTAGGTTATTTTTTGATAAAGATATTGTGGTGTTCTGACTAAAATTAATTTATGATAAAAAACAGCAGAGTGGAGGAGCCTACGATTTTCCATATTTAACCAACCTGCATCTTTCAATTTGTGAGATATTCTATGTCTCCTCTGTATACCAAATGCAAGGCGCAAGCATGAGTTTTGAACCAGTTGAACTTTACGTCGATACAGGTTAGTTAAGTGTGGGCCGTAAAGCACATCAGCGTAGTTGAATAAAGATAATACTAAAGTATCACATAGCATGATCTTAAGTTTTAACGAGAGAAATTTCCGGCTACCGTAAATAAATTTCAACGACAAATATGCTCTCTGCATAATTTTGTTGATGTGATACTCAAATCGAAGATTACTATCAATCACAACACCTAAATTTTTTACATTGTCCATTATTTTGAGAGTTACACCATTTATCTCAATTTTAATAAGATTCTCTATAACATTTTTATTTTGTCTAGGTCCAAAAACAATTACGTGAGACTTTGATGGATTTATTAAAAGACAGTGGCGTGTGGCACATTCTACAAAGGAGTTTAGCTCATTATTAATGATCAACGAGAAACGATGCATCAATTGTGGGGGGAAGCTGCAATAGATTTGGGTGTCATCAGCGTAAAAATGCACATTACAGAGACTAAGGCAGTGCATGAAATTAGATGTATAAATTAGAAATAGGAGTGGTCCAAGTATGGACCCTTGGGGTACGCCGGATTTCAAATTTAAAGATAAAGACTGAACTCCATTTAAAACAACTGTTTGTTTCCGCTTAGTGAAGTGGCACTGAAATAAATCTATAGCGTTTTGAGAAAGACCAATATGATGTAAAATAGCAAGCATTAATTGATGGTTTAAAGTGTAAAACGCTCTGCTGAAATCCAGCAGAACAAGAACAGTACACTCGCCACGATCTGTAGCTCTAATTATGTCGTCTGTTACATGAAGTAAAGACGCCGTACAGCTATGATTTTTCCTAAATCCAGACTGTACAATTGGCAGTAATGAAAATTGTGACAAATGATAAGAAAGTTGCTCCTCCATTGCACGCTCAAGTAATTTAGAGAAAAATGGTAAAACACTAATCCCTCTGAGATCTTTAAGATCTGAAGGATTAGGTTTTTTTGGCAGAACACAGACATTTGCTTGCTTCCACAGATCAGGGAACTGATTATGCGTAAAACAAAAATTAATTATATGAGTTAAATAAGGAATAATATGAGGGCAACATAGTTTAATAAAATTTAAATTAAAACCATCGCAACCACGAGCATTAGTTTTAATACGGCAAATTGCTTCATAAACAAATAAATCATTAACTTCTTTGAATTCAAAATTTGAAGAATTCCTCCTAGTATTTCTGTAGAAATTTATTAAGTTAGGAGAAGGCTGTATATTAGGTATACTGTTAACAAAAAAATTATTAAGTTCATTGACATCATTACAGGAATTTGGAATGGTGTTATCCTTTTGAGAGACTATTCCATTGTTCCTTAACCTTTTCCACATTTCTGTTGAACTGCAACTTTCTAATATGTATGTATAATAAGATTTTTTTTCTCTGATGATAGCAGCATTAACTAAATTACGCAAGTCCTGATAATATCGCAAATGAGCATTCAGTCCTGTTCTTCTAAATCTAAGCAGCGCCCTGTCCCTGAGATTCTGCATTCGCTTCACCACATCTGTAAGCCATGGGGCTCTAGGTTTAGTAACTCTCATTGATACCAAAGGAAAATGCCTATCAAAAAGGTTTGTAAGCAGGTTTGTAAGAAACGCAACTTTAGAGTCGGCGCTATTTTGGTCAAATAGCATGAAAAACGGGGTTGCAAATAGATCCCTGCAAAAACTGTCTTCATTAAAGTTTTTATATGAGCGAATAGTAATGATTTTAGGTTTATTTCTTACTTCACTAACATTTACCTTACCAAAAATTATAAAATGATCCGACATACCACCACTATCCATGACACCTGTATCAAATACAACCTCATCGCCAGAAATGATAAGATCCAATAAACTTGCACATGCACCAGAGATTCTAGTTGGACAGTCTATCATTTGCTTAATCGAGAAAGAGTCTAGAACAGAATAAAATCTTACCACATGTGCTTGATCGACGTTTATCAGGTTAATATTAAAATCTCCAGTGCATATGACTTCATCAACTGTTGGATAAATCGTACTCAAAACACATTCAAATTCATCTAGAAAACTATTAACATACATATTCGGAGGCCTGTATATTAAACCAAAACCGTACTATTTTTCGTTGATTACAATTTTTAACCAAAGCTGTTCACTAAATAAATCACTTGTATCTATTAAGTCGAAAGTGTAACATTCCTTAACATAAGCTAACAGACCACCTCCTTTTGTACCCCGATCTTTCCTTAAAATACTAAAACCACTGCAATTAATAGATGCGTCATCAATACTATTTCTCAACCATGTTTCACAAACAAAAAATATATCAAATTTTGCATTGCCAAGAATAATTTTCAATTCATTCAGAGATGGTACGATAGATCTAATATTTAAACATCCGATTTTTATGTATTTCATGTAATAGGCAAAAACAGTAATACCGCAAAAAACTAAGAGTAACTAAAATAACTCAATCCTTGTGTATGAGCTAGCTGAAGCTAAAATACTAAATAACCTTACTAGTAGTATAATATTCCCTGCAAAAATAACTATCCTAAAAAATCAAACAAAAACCGGTACAATGAACATAGTATGGGAGCGACTCATTTGCACTACATACTGCTAATTAAATCCCTATAACTACAAATTGCGTAAGTCGGCGACTTTGTTAATTTTTACAGATTTCATTTCACCGTCGTACTTACAGAAAATTGTGCCATTGTTAGTCCACACTTTTCCACGTTTTCCCACCTTGTTAATGACGTCTTTCATAAGCTGAAATCGATTTGGCGTCAGATCCTCCCTGATAACGATGCCAGTAGACTTCAGTAGTTTTTTCTTATAAAATATGAGATTCTTGTAGAAGGATGAAGCCAGTTTAACTAGGATAGGCCTTGACTTGCTTCTATCAGGTTTACCTAGTCTAAAACAACTTTCCACAGAAGATGGATTAATTTCTACGTCCAGTTTATCCTTCACCAATTGTAATATCTCTTCCATGCAATTTTTCTGCTTTTTTTCCTGAACACCGTAAAATCTCAATGTATTTCTTCTAGTGTATTGGTTCAGCTTATCCTGTTCAGAGAGTATTGTGTCAATTTGTTCATCATGAGCCTGCAGTTTTGACGTTGTTTCCTTGTGCTGTTCCTTTAGAACATTTATGTCATTTTTCAGTTCCTGCCCAATAGCTTTTGTAATTGAAGAAGTTAACTGTCGTATAAATTCTTCAGACGTGCACAGTTTAGTAACTGACTCCTTAACTATCATGTGCAATTCATCCTCACTTTTCTTACCAGCCTGCCTTGTTATAGACATGATGAACGGGTTATATGCAATTAAATGCTGGTCAGGAACAGATAGAACTTGGATAAACTTGAGCACTTACGACTAGAAACTATCACTGATCGGACACCAAAAACGGGGAATTTTCACGCACAATTTACCATATAATTTTGACTTCTTTAGCAGCACGGTACAAACACGTCTACTCCATTATAATGCTCACCCGAGAATCCCTGGGGGGACCCTATCAAATGCACTAATCAACCTGATCATAGCTGGATATTAAGACTAGTAATGGGTACGATTGTATTTTTCATATTATTTAAGCTTTAAATCAATAAATCTTCAAAACTACTGAACTAAAGTACATTAATTTTATATCATTATAAAGGGAATTGAAAGACTTTTAAAATAAGGTATCACTCGACCCCTCTTTCCATTTAAGATTTTGGGGCAGGTGTCACCCCCGCTTAGGGGGCTGCACGTGCTAACGTGATTATTTGCCAAACTTGTGTCCCCCTCGAAAACAAAATCGACGGGTCTGGGCGTTTCTCCAAAAAAAACTGAGCTGCCAGTAAATGCGTCTGTTTCGTTTTCGATGCGTCACCCTGTATATAGTTAGAAATACAAACTGATCCCAAGAAAAGGCGAAGTCTAGTCCAGGGCTACTATGTTGCCTGCAAATCAGATGACAATATTACGATCAAATGCAAATTAACAGTTCTTACACACTATGTTCCGCTTTTACAACCAATAACAAAAAATAAGAAACAACATAAATCAACCCTATCAAATGCATTAATCAACCTGATCATAGCTGGCTATTAAGACTAGTAATGGGTACGATTGTATTTTTCATATTATTTACGCAAGATTATTGTTTTAAATGTAGTTGTTAAATTTTTCATATCACTGGGCAAAGGGTTGTAAAACGTTACCGCATTGCATAAAAGTTTTTTTTAATGACTGGGAATGGCGAATTTATTTTTATTTATAGTACTTAAAGAGTGTACGAGTGTGTTGTCTTAATTTTATTTTTATACGAGTTCGTAATACACTTTTGACTACTCCTAATATCACTGAGAAAAGTACCCAGTTGCAAAACTCTTCTTAATAATAATAAAAATCTATTTAAAACTGCCACTTACCCTGCACATAATCTCAAAGAGGCTCTATTCCTATGAGTATGATGCTATTCTAGACCGTAACAGCTTTATATCAATTGACCAAGCTGTCAATAGATATGGGTCAATTAGAAGTTGAACCTACTCACAACTTTTATTGTTTTTTTTTAGGGTTAGAGAAACGATTTTCCGCGCAAAGGTACTTATCAACACCTGAAAGGGTGGAGTTAGCCAGTGCATTGAGTTTGAGTGAAACACAGGTAAAGACCTGGTTCCAAAACCGACGGATGAAGGCCAAAAAACAGATGAGGAAAGTGCAAGAAGAAAAGGGAATTTCAAATTCTTCGTCTACGTTAGGTGTTGGAAAAACGAATGTAAGCAGTCCAGAAAAAAATGGTAAGTCCCAATACTATGAAAACTCCGCCTGATTTAAATTTTCGTGCTCCAAATGTGTCTGATATATATTTGACGATCAATGTTTACCACCTCTATATTATGGGAACAAAGCGTTTCAGGACCTAAAAATAGGTAGGATAGTACCCAAAAGAGGTCCCATTTTGTTATTGATCTTAATAATATGAAAAATACTAAAATTATGATTTAAAACTGCACACACACTTACACACACACACACACACACACACACACACACACACACACACACACACACATGAATTAGGTGATAGAGGACCGCTGTTCCAACTCTCTTTCTGAAAATGCTTCTCAATACAGACTTCGTCATAATAGTTGTATCTTCAGACGCTACTATGCTTTTTTATGACAAACAAGCTGTCATACTGTCATTGACAAACATAAATGTGACTAAGTATGTGAGAAAGAGTGCGCCGATGACGTCCGTCACCTCGACACTGGGCTTGCCTGTTAACGAGGTACTTCTATCCTTTCCGAACACACGTGTTGCACACTTTTCGCGCTTCTGTCTCGTTCACATTACGACGTCATTGGTATTTGGTTTCCAGTATACAGGGTGTCCCGAAAAAAGTGTGCAATATTCTACCAGCGGTTTCTAGAGCTTAAAATAGGAAAAAAGTTTATATAAACATAGGTCGACAAACGTCCCCTAAGGGCGCTACGGTCTTTTAAAGGGGCTCCCCCGAAGATGGTTTTTCCTTAATATTTCCGAAACGTGTTGAGATAAAGACATAAAATTTGGTATTCTAGCCTAGTTTTTTATGCTGGATTTAAAAATATTAACAATTTTAGACAGTTTTGTTTTCAAGCGTATGTAACAGGGACGGACTCAGGTTATTTTAGCCCCAACATTTTTGTGTGATCCTATTTTTGAAATTTAATTTTAGAATTTGAAAATTTAGGGTTTTCTACATAAAAAATGTACTCTTATTAAATATCGATAAATTGTGCCATTTTTTAATAAAATCAAACTAAAAAATTTGTCACATGATAGGAAATGTACTGCGAATTTAAATGAATTGTTGATTATACATAGTTAGCCATGACTGCAAACAAAAGTTGTTTTGATTTGTGATGACTTATTCTGACGTTAAGCTGACATTATTAGCAGTGTAAAATTACTAGATTAAAAAGCAAATTTTTTATTAAATCGGTTTAAAATGCCAAGATTTACAGACAGAGAACTGACTGACATGCATTTTGTGTACGGGTTTTGCAATGGAAGTTCCTTGGCAGCCGTAAGAGAATATCAAAGAAGATTTCCCAATCGCATAGTACCTGGACGTCGAATGTTTACTGATAGTCACCGGAATTTGTCAAACCATGGAAGTTTTCAGCGCATGCCGGGCTCAGGAAGGCGACTGGGAAATCATCGTATGGATATTGCTTTAAATACGTTTGAAAATAATCCGCAAATAAACATACGAAATGTTTCAGAAATTATGGATATATAGGTACCTCGATCAATAGTAAGAAAAATTTATGAATACCTATTTGATAGTTATCCTAAAAATAATAATTTTAGCTAAGAAGAATGACAAGAATGCAAGGATTACATCCTGATCATTTTAAACGGGTGCAGCATTTAACGGAGGCAGACTTTTTACCACGGATCGAGTTTTGCCAGTGGATATTAGCAAATGAAAACACTACTCCTAGAATATTATGGTCGGATGAGTCAATATTTACTAGGAATGGTGCTTTTAATTTCCATAACATGCATCACTGGTCAGATCAAAATCCAAAAGTTGTTCGCCGTACAAATTTCCAACATAGATTTTCATTGAACTTATGGCCAGGAGTAATTGGGGATCAAGTAATTGGGCCTATTGTACTTCCCAATCGTCTTAATTCAGAGGTGTATCTGAACTTTCTTCAGAATGAGCTCATGGATATAATACTATTGGATGTGCGCCAGCAGTTTCAAGAAAATCTGGTTTTTCAACATGATGGCACCCCTGCACATTTTGGACGCAATGTTCGAAATTGGTTGAATGTCAATTTTCTAGACAGGTGGTTAGGCCGAGGAGGTCCTATAGCGTGACCGCCACGTTCACCTGACCTAAATCCATTGAATTTCTATTTTTGGGGGTCATTAAAAGACCTAGTTTACTCGACTGAAGTAAATACTCAAGAAGATTTACTTCAAAGAATCGATCAGGCTGCAAATGAAATAAGAAGAAAAAGGTTTTCCACTTTTCGGGCTACGCAATCATCAGTTCGTCGAGCGAGATTCTGTATCCAACAAAATGGGAATTTATTGGAACACTTATTGTAAAGCTAGTTTTAAGTATATCCAACTGTATGTCTTCTTTTTTAAAAAAAATCAATTTCGTTCGTAGAAAAAATGTATTTCTTTTGTTTTTGCCTAAATGTTAGCTATGTTGCAATAGAAATAAGTATTTATGTAATATTCACCGATTATTAAATTAGTTTTTTCGTTGCCATGGCTAATTATTCAACAATTCATTTAAATTCGCAGTATATTTCCTATCATGTGACAAATTTTTTAGTTTGATTTTATTCAAAAATGGCACAATTTATCGATATTCAATAACAGTACCTTTTTTATGTAGAAAACCCTAAATTTTCAAATTCTAAAATTGAATTTCAAAAATAGAATCATACAAAAATTTTGGGGCTAAAATAACCTGAGTCCGTCCCTGTTACATACGCTTCCAAACAAAACTGTCTAAAATGGTTAATATCGTTAAATACAGCATACAAAACTAGGCTAGAATACCAAATTGTATGTCTTTATCTCAACACGTTTCAGAAATATTAAGGAAAAACCATCTTCAGGGAAGCCCCTTTAAAAGATCGTAGCGCCCTTAGGGGACGTTTGTCGACCTATGTTTATATAAACTTTTCTTCCTATTTTAAGCTCTAGAAACCGCTGGTAGAATATTGCACACTTCTTTCGGGACACCCTGTATACATATGTGTGAGGGAGATGGATGTATGAAAGTACTATAGATTTAGGCAACTGAAAGGGGTCCAGTTTGTGAGACTCAAACTTATGTATCCAATAACATTTCATAATGAAGACAAACACAGAATCTTGCGATTTAAGAAAATATTCAAATATAAGAGCTTACTTGCAAATATCTATGAATAATGATGAAAGTTGCAGCCCTGCGCAAAACTTCTTCCGCTACCAAAAAACATAATGATCGACGAATAAACATATTTACGGAAACTGCAGCTTACACTGGGCAATGATATGAGACCAGGGGGTCCACTTTAAAGAAGAGCTCCGGCTTATGGCAATGCCATCTATAATCTTTTTTTCATATTTTTCAACGTTGCGGAATATCTCCTTAATTTTCCCGACAACATTCTGTAACGCCCTGTATAAGGGCATATTACCTGTTTTGCAACCCCAAGTAGGCAGTCTTCATTGAGGAAACTGGGTAGAAGTGGGATAGAAGTACGTCGCTAACTTCTCTAATTTTGTTTCTAAATGACGGAGATCTTGGAGCTTCACCCGCCATCTTATAACGTAATTGACTTCATTAAGTTCTGAACTTGCCTTAATTGACGTTTAAGACGGAGTACAGGCAAGAAAGCAAGTTGGGCCGTGAAGGTTCGGAGGCGTTTCGGAGTATAGAGTGTGGAAGAATTTGCCCTTTTGTTGGGTCAGCATTCTATTTTCAGCAGGAGTTTCGAGGGATGGTCGAGGACCGCAAAGAGCCATACATTTTGTCAATCGTAACAGCTGCTGGGAAAAAAATATATAGTTACTTGTTTCGGGCTAAGAAGCACTTCTCTCCACATAGGGTCCTCGCCCTGTGCAACAGGGTGTGCCATTATGCTCAACTTTCAAATTTTGACATGTAATACTTTTCAAAAGTTGTATTTGTTTGTTTAATGAAAAACTACATTTGATATATATTTTTTTTAAATTCTAGTTTATCTGATTACAGTAACTTCTTGTTTAATATGTTTGAATCTCAAATTGAAGTGTGAGCAGAATACTAAAGTTGCTTTATTGCTTATTTTATAATGTATAGGTAAACATTTAGTAACAAATCATTTAATCTTTGTTTATACAATGTGTTTCAGTTTATTGTTGCATAACTTTAAGATTCGATAGAACTTTTAAAATTAATGCATAAAGTCTATATAAACATGGGTCGAAAAATGCGTGGCTTCCGAAATACAGGATGTTTATATTTACTTTCTGAAATAGTTTTTTTTAAATATTTCGAACAATATTTGATGTATAACAGTGAAAATTGTTATACAAGGGTTTTTTGGTACGACAAAACGAACATAGTTTTACTTTAGCCGCTAGAGGGCGCTCTCTACTGTACCTGTAGTGTATTAAAATGACCGAAAAATTTTTCTTAGTGCAATTTTTTGGTTTTTGATCAAAAAAACTGATTCTTCGCACTTTTCAACATAAAAAAGCTCTCTTGTGAATTTTCGTTATAGTTAGCCGTTTTTGAGATATTTCGATTTTTAGGGTTCGATGCATTTTTAATTATTTATGATAAAATAACGTTAAAAAGTCAGTATCTCGATAATTTTTAGAAGTAGGCTGTGCCTGCAAATATTTTTGTAATTGAAAGCAGAATAAGGTTAAACGTCAATTAGTTGACAGTTAGTTTTGTTGTCTGTTGAAACCTGAAACGTTTTTTTGCAATTGTGAATGCACAAAATTTAGTTTCTTTTGCCTGTTTTTTTTTGTAAGTTTTATAAAAATGCCATTTTTATTCTCCAATCAAGAGTTAGCGGATATTCATTTTGTGTATGGCTTTGTAAATGGAAACGCAGCAGAAGCAGCCAGAGATTACGCACGAAGATTTCCGAACAGACGACATCCAACTCGCTCAGTATTTGTAAGAGTGCATCGCCAAATGATTGAAAATGGTTTTGGAAATCTCCAAAGGGATCAAAACATAAATGTTCGTCAGCGCAGATTTACCCGTATGATTCTGCGTGAGTTTGATAGAGATCCG